GGAGGTCTATGAGCAGGGCAGGGGCTGTGGGTGCCCTTGGGGACATGGTGCAAGTGGCTCTGAGTGGGTTCAGTGACACTGGAAGGGTTTATGAGGGAAATGGTGTGGGTACCCCTGGGAGCAGCACAGACCACAGGATTGAGTGGGGTTGAGTGGCCCTGGGGCGTTGTGTGGTACTGGACGGGGTGTGGGTGCTCTGGGGGTGTTTTCAGCATGGGGAATGCCCTGAAGAGGAGGGAAGGGAAGGTCTGTGTTCCTCTCAGGAGCTGGGGGGGTCCCTAGTCCTGCCATGGGGAGCTGAAGGTGTTTTCTGTGTGGAAGGTTTCTGTGGGAGGGTTTTTTTGCCTTTGTTGTGCCCTAGCTGAGCAGGTGCTCTGGGTGTGTGCTGTGCCCTGCAGGTGCTGGAGCAGCTTCAGCCCGGGGCACTGGGCACGATGCTGGTGGCTCAGCTGAAAACACACCAGGGTGCCCAGAAGAAATATGCAATAAAGCAGGTGAGCTGGTGGTTGCTATGAAAACAAGAGTTTGGCATGTTTGTTGTCTCCAGGGGCACCAGGATAGTAGCATGAGACCCATGCTGGGCAGCTCAGCTGCTGGGTAAGAGTGGGCTTGTTATAGTGCTGATTTTTTGGGAAAATGGGAGATTCTGATCAGTTTAGTGGAATGTTGAGGCTCAAAGCGGGGAAAGGACAGCAGCCTAGTGAGGTCCCCACAGTGCTCTCACCTCAGCTCACTGCTGCCCTGACATTGCAGAAACACTGTCACACATGTATTTTCAGCTCTGTTTCACCCATCTCCTGACCCCAAAACTGGCCCAAACATTAGAGTTTTGACCTGTCATTGAAAATTGATGTTATTTGCAGTCCAGTCACCTTGGTAAGAGTGTTCTGGCTCAAAGTTCCCTGGTGTTTCTGTTGCAGTCTCAGCCCTGTCTTTTGTTTGGTGCAGGTTGAATGCATTGACCAACACCAAGCAAATGTGGCCTTGAAGGAGGTATTGTGCAGTCTTTTCTTTATTACTTCACTTACAAAGACCAAAGTCTTGATAGAAGCAAGTCTTTTATCTGCAGGGATTAGCTGAGTAAAGAAGTAAATCAGGTAGGACTATTTGTAGGGTGTGCTCTCTGCCCTCTGCTTGGGTTCAGGCCAGGGTTTGTATGAATTGTTGTTATTTATGGATATGTAAATTCAAATGGACAGTTCTTCTCAGAGGATAGTTCTTTCTCAGAATGGTTATTTGTTTTTGGGAAGCCAAAGGACAAAACTCATCCTTTCGGCCTTTAAGCTGAAGAAGAACCTTGGTTTGTTTGTAATTATTAATAACTCGATGTCTAGATAATATATTTCATGATATGCTCTTTTTTAGAGTGAATTATTTTCTCCCTTTTTGTACCCCTTTTTTTTTTTGGTGCAAACTTTGTTGTAATGCCTTGATTAAGTAGCATCAGAAATACTCTTAAAAGACCAAAAACGGTTTCAATAAAACAGTGGAATAGCACCTGATGGATGAGTCTCCCAGTGCCCAGTATGCACAGTTGGAAAAGAAGGTGAATAAATATTTGTACAGATATCTTATCCTGGTCAGAGAGATGACCTCTTTCTCTACCAAATATGGCATTACCAGTAAAACTTGATCCAATTTTTCTGTTGAAATAAATATTGAATTACATCTACTAAAATAAATGCAGTTGTGCCATTTGTGAGCCTGGCTCTTTTTAGCTTTTTCTTTTGTGCCTGCACAGCCACAAACACAACTATAGGAGAGTAACCTGAATTCTTTTTATCTTCCACATAATCAGCAAATGTGCTGAAGTGGTTAGGATTTGTTAGAGCCCTGCACAGAAACCACCTTCAAGGAGATAAAAATCTCTCGTGCCATTATATTTGCTGAGTTCAAGCTTGCATGGAGGTTACAGGAAACAATAGCTGCACTTGAAAAATCATCCTGACTTATTCTAAGAAATGTTTTCAGGTCAGGATGTTAGGAACTGAAGAAGGAGGTGATTCACACATCATCTTCCTGTGGATCAGTTTATATCTTTGAATCTCACAAAGCTGTTGCAGTAGTGGGTGAAATATTTTCCTTCTTTCCACATTTGTGTATCCAAATATTTAACAGAGCTGGCACTTCAGAAGAGTTTGATCAGAAATGTGACATGAACAAGTGAAGAATTGGCTTTGGGTGTTATTTAAGGTCCTGTTAAAGGGAAGGACTATGTAGCTATAGAAAGCTGTCTCTATTTTATCTTCTGTACAGGCAATGGATTTGCTAAAACTCTGCCATTCTAATATCTGTGCTTACAAGGAATTATTTCTCACTTGGAATAATGAGGTGAGAATGGAACAGGATTAGTTAAACTGGAATGTGTGGTTTATGTTCTAGGCACATGAGCCTATTCAAGATTTTGGGGTCATTGGGGTGGGATGCTAAAAAAGAAGGTTTTTTTAATTTGAAACAATCCTGATTTTTTATTTTTTTTTTTTTTTTGACTCCTGAATACACACACTAAAAACTGAATATGTATGGATTGGAGTCCATCACATGGCAGACTCCCAGATTCTGATGGGAATTAGTGTGCAATTCTGATTTTCATGCCTGCATGAAACCCCTTCTATAGGGGACTATAAGAAGCTGAAAGCCCTGACTTACTTATTGGCACATTTTCTTCAGTGCTTGGACAGAACCTTTGATGATTTTATAGCTGTATAATTGATTTGAACCATCCTATACAGCTTCAGATAAGATGCTTGATAGTGGTGTTTGTTTCATTTGCTAAAACAATGAGCATGCTGTATTTTTAATGAAAGAAATTACATCTTGTCTCTTCTGTGAGAGAATAATCATCTCAGAAGCCTTTTGCACTGTGAGCATCAGACCCACCAGTTTGGTTTTGTCTCTGTTACCTGCAAACAATTCAGCAATTTTGGTGCAATGTTTTATTGCAGGTCTCATCTCTGTTCCTCTGCCTGGTCATGCAGCACTCAGGCCAAGGAGATCTTTCAGCTCTAATCAAGGAAAAGAGGCAGAAGTCAGAAAAGATAACAGACATGGTAAAAAGTACAGAGGAGGCACCTGTTTGAATTGAGAGACTTGTTGCTTTTATGGTATTCCTTCTTTCTAAAAATCCTCCCTAAATCCTACAAAGCAAAGGAGGGTGGTTTTGGAAGCTCACTTCTGAAAGATATTTGAAAGTTACTCTGTTTGTGTTACATTTTCATGTCTATTTCCCTCCACAGGTGATTCAGAAGTTCCTGGGACAGATGGTGGGTGCCTTGTTTTACATACACAAACAAAATATTTGGCACAGGTGAGCAGAAATCTCATTTTCTTTGTCTGTCAGGCCCTTGTTCTTTGCAGTGTTGGTTCAGCAGTGCTCTGAGGCAGGGAATTTTGCTCTTCCAAAAGTAGAAGCAGGGTGTAGAAGTTCCAGACTTTATAATAGGCTTTTTTTTTACTTCTAAATTTATCTATTTCCTGAGTATTGTCTGGAATACTTGTTTGGTTGAGGTATTATCTCTTGGTGTTTTGGTTTTTTTGGAATATTTAAAAAATTGTTAATCGCTGTAAATGCTCACATTTTGGTGGCTGTGATGGACAAAGTTTGTGGATCTGAATAAAAGACAACCCTTACATTCCATGCTCAGATCAATTTGTATCCCAAGTACAAATTTAAAAGCATTTAGAGAGGAAAATAGTTGTATTTTGGTTGATTATCACTTGTATATTTAAAAAAATGAAAACCAACAGAACACAAAGTAAAAATATCCAAATCAATTCTCCCACCACCACCCCCAAAAAAACCAAACCAAACCTTCTGAGGGCTAAAGATGCAGGCAATTTTTAATTATATGTAATTAGACTCTAATTTCACAGGCTGACAGAAAATATTTGTGTTGCAGAAATCTCAAGCCATCAAACATCCTTGTGACTGGTGAACCATCCTTCATGCTGAGTGACTTCAGTACTGAAACACTTATGAAAGATGAGCTGAAATGGAAAATCAGAGTGGAAGAAGGTAGGTATTTGTTTTGCTATTTTTATTTTCCTACTGTATTTTTAAAAGGTTTTGGTTGTGGTGGATATTTTTACTCCTCAGAGAAAAATTAGGGAAGAGGAGAAAGTTATCTTCCCTCTCCTTTCTCTGCATTAAACTATTTGTCTTCTAAATAGGATTTTCATAGGCAGTTGTCTGCAGCTTTAATTGTGTTCACAAGTGAAAAATGTAGATATGTATGTGAGTTTCTGCAATCAATACAGCTGGAATCCCTTTCAGCTTTGTCCTCAGGAACATCTTAGGAAAATGTTCATTAGTTACAGTGTGTTTTGTAGTTTTTGGAAGCTCAATATCAGCAATGTCCCCATATGATTCCTGTTCCTACAGAAAGCAAGTCTTGGATGGCTCCAGAAACATTTGGACTTTCTTTCACTGAGAAATCCGACATCTGGTCCCTGGGCTGTGTCCTCCTTGATATGATGAGCTGCTTTGTTCTGAATGTGTGTAAGAGTGATTTATTCGGGGTTTTTGATCCTGGGCTCATCAGGATATCTGTGTGTGTGAGAGCTCTCTGACACTGTGCTCTTCCCAGGCAGAAGAGATAAATTCCTTACTGCAGAATATCAGAGAGGACAGCAGCTGCCTGGAAGGAGTCCTGACCCTGATGCAGGATGGAGAAAGCAGCTATTTGCCTTTCTTTCCAATTTTAGTGATGATGCTACAGATTGAGCCCAGCATGAGACCCACAGCAAGGTGAGTTCTGGCTGCCTTCCCTTGATTTATTTTGTCCTAATCCCCTCCTATCTCTACAAATTGGGAATGTTCACTGCTGTTGGAAAGGGTTAATATTGCTTATCCTTCTACCTCAACAAACCGAGTTATTAAAGACTTGATGTTCCTTCAGAGTGGACACTGAGATGCACAGGTGTCCCTTTTTACAGTTAGATCATAAATTCATGTTATACACAATTTTATGAGCCTGAACTTGATACCTAAGCATGGCTCGTGCAACATGAGCGGTTTGGAAGTAAATTGTTTAAGTTCTGTCAAAAATAATATAGTCTAGAAGTAATAGCAGATTTTTTAATATCAAAACGAAACAATGCCTGTAGATTTTTTCTTTTCTAAATTACCAGTTCTAACTCACTGGTGCTGCTTTTGTCTCTCAAAATTCCAGGGATCTGGTCACTGTTCCATTTGTTGGGAAATGCCTGACTTTTGCTGGTGACACCTCAATAAAATTAAAGAAGTCTCTGCCTCCCACAATAACAGATGAGCTCTTTCAGGGAGGAGTTGAAAATGTTCTAGGTAATAAGGAGAATAAGATTAATGCAAAGGTGATTTTCACAGGAGATAGACACTTCCAGTCAGGATGTGTTCTACTTGGAAATAAATTCTTGGCCACTCATTTTACCTGAAATAAAATGGGATACTCTTTGGAGCAAGGAATTCTGTGCAACTTTTCCTCTAAATTCTTAAGGTTCTCAGCCATTCCTACTGCAAAAGTTAAACAGGGTCAGAGGTCATTCCTCAGAAAATTTGAGAGCTCCACTTATTTTATTTGCATTGTAACATGTTTCCTGATTCATGCCACAAGGGATCTGCTCCATTATTTTCCTTCTAAGTAAGGAAGATGTTATTTTAATCTGAAAAGTCTATTGGAATAAAGCATTTAAAGCTCCTATCCATGCTCTGGTTTAATATTCCTACAGGTCCTCAAAAAAATATATATAATGCTAAATACATTGTGAATCATAACACTTGGCAATATTGAAATGTTTAATGAGTTGGGGAGGAAAACTCTTTTCAGCAATCCCAAATTCGTTATTTTCATTCATATGAATTCACATCTTGCACAAAACAGAGACAACTGGAGTATTTTGTATGTTTGTGTGGAATGCTTGAAAGAATTTCCTTGGTTTCTCAGAATTCATGCAGGCTTTCTGGGATATTGAAGAGGTCCAGGCTAAAGGCATTCAGCACCTTGCCAGATTTGTAGATGATGAAAGTGGTAAGGCACTATTTGATCTATTTATTCATTCTGTTCCTTCCTTACATTTTGAGATAATAGGAGGAGGAAAACCTTTCCAATGCCCATAAATGAGAATGAAATTGCTCTCTTCCTGTTTCTTCAGACCAGCAGCTGATGAGATTGTGTTAGTACTTGTTCTGTACATGCTTTTGTTAACTAGCAGAGGGGCTTTACTGGATCATAAAAATGGGCACTGGGGAAAAAAAAAAAAAAAAGTGATCTTTGAATTGGCAACAAACTGATATTTGAGGAAGGTAATTTCCACAAGCCCTGGCATGACCTGGGGGTAATTCCTGGGGCTGTAAGGCTGGCAGAGCAAAAGGGAGCTACACATGGCTAATTCCATGTGTCTGTAAAGCTGTGAGGGTGAAAGCTGTGTATTTTCTCTCAGAAGCTGCAGATTTTTCAAAAGAAGCTTTCAGATCAAGGTTCATAATTCAAAGCACTGTGTTAAATCAGTTATAAAATGCTCTGTCCTTTGACAGCATTTTAATGCTGCCATTGGCTTATGATGTTAAAACTCAGGATTATTCTTAGCTTTAATTGGTAGGAGACATTTCCCACACAGATTAAAACAATTCACTCTGTTTGATTCTCTTTGATTCAAGAACCTTTGTCAAAGAATTTCTTTTCCCCCACAGCATTCCCCAATCTGCTAACTTGCACAGAAGTGATCACTCTTGCCATGAAGATTCACACAGATTCTCTAGATTTACAAGTTGAAGGCTGCACTTTGTTGCTTGAAATTCTTAATCAAGGTACAAGTAAGACTTCCTCCTTCTGGGTCTTGTAAAGATTTCTGAACCCATTACTTGCTCCATTAACAATTTTAGGGGATGAATTCAAAGAACTAAAGGAAGTTAAGCATTTCTGAATTCTCATGACCTTTCTTCAGGACTGACATCCAGCAATTCTGTGTTAAGAGTTAATTTTAACTGTAGGTGCTGATCTTGTCCAACCAAGTTTGTTTTCATGTTATGTAGAATGTTAATAGGGCATAAAGGCTCTTACTGTTTTGGAGTTTAAATTTTAAACCATAAAAGTGTGTTTGGGTCTCTTGTGTGGCCCCTGCTGTCATTTTCATGGCAATTTACCCCAAAATCACCTGATGATACAAGCTTAAAAATGCTAAGAATTGAGTTTCAGGAAATTAAAGTAACTTCTGCTTATTTTATGTGATGAAATGCTGCCAATTGAATGTTTTGCTATGCTGATTGCAGGGCAGGGGGGTTCAGCTTTCATTCAAAACCACTGAAATGTTTGTTCTATTCCAATGGTTTTGGTGACAGCTCTGGAACAGGGGGTGATGATGGCTCTGGATGAGAATATGGCCAGCTGCCTGTTACACACAGTGAGGAAACATTCTGAAAATGAAGAGTTCCTTTCAATGCTCTGCACGTTATTGATGATGGTTTCAGCCAGTGGTGGGTCACCTTGCTCATTCTTTGGGGAACCTTAATTTATTTTTACTTTTTGAAACAAATCCAAGATACAGTGCAGAACTTGTGATTTCACTAAAAAGTGTGGATGTCTGTGGGTCATTATTAATTTAATAGTGGTAATATTGCTAAGATTGACCAGATATTGATAACACCTCTGAAAGTTTAAGATACAATGCTGAGGTTTCAGGGATTTACTGGACCACTATAAAAGATACAATTCTGTATTCCTCTAGGTTTGGAAACAAGTACAAGCTCTGCAAATAGTAGTGCTTGAGAAAATGAGGGCATAGAACCTGAATTCTATTTTGGACTCTGCCATGATGAATTGAAACCATTCTCCCTAACTTCTCTACTTTGTTTTCTTGTCTTCTGAACTTGTAATTGCTAAATATTTATAATTTTTTTAGTTGTTTTCAGTGTCAGTTCAACAGTCATCAAAGATTGTTTTTAGAAATGGTTACAGTAGGATTTAGTAGCGAGGGGGAAATCTTAATAAAAATAATTACAAAGAGTCATGTCTAAGACCCAATTATTTCTTATCCAGCGTTTCCTAATTCTGAAGCTTAGTTTGAATCGTTAAAATGGAAACAGGTGAAAAATTGTAATTGACACCCTCTCGGTTCCTTTCCTGCTCTCTGAATTCCAAGTCCATGAGGAAAAAGGATGGCCAGGCATGCATTTGAAAGGATCAGATATGTTAAGTGCATCTTGTTAAAGAATTCGGTCTGTTCTCTTGCTTCTTTTGTCCAGCTAATGGGCTCACGTTACCGGTCTGTTATCTCAGTTTAAACACCTTAGTGCTGCCCGTTTCGAGGCCACTGAGTGGGACAAAAATACCAGATTCTATAGAATTTCTGTGGTTTTCAGAAGTAGCTGCGGAGAACCTAAGGAAAGTTGGAATCATTCCAGACCTTCTGTCAATTTTAAGACGTTTTCTTCATAATGACAAGATCTGCTTCTCTTGCTGTGCCGTTCTCTGGAGCTTGGCTGTGAGTGGTGAGTAGAACACAGCGAGTATTGTGCCTGCACTCATGTGACTGGAGGGCAGCAGGTATTGAGCCTAATTGAGTTCAGACATTCCTGTCGCTGGGATTGGATTTTCTCCCATTCTTGTTCCAGGGAGAGGGAGTGAGATGATCTTTAAAATTCCTTCCAACCCAAAACTGATTCTGTGATTCTGGAGAGTTGTTTCCACAGCACTGTTACCATTACTTTGTGATCCAGAGTTAAACTAGATAAAACAAAAAATTAACCCAGAGTTTTTTCAGCAACCCTTTATGTAATAAGGTGTCAAATTCGAGCTGTTCAGGCCAAGATGTGATTTGATTTCATATTTACTGATTTGTTTCTGTGACGTGTTCTTGTAGAGGTGTGTGGTGTTCTGCTCATCATGCAAGGCTGGAAGCACAGATTGTGCACAGTTTCACCTGGTGTGTTTTATTCCCTCTGTGCAGCAAATTACCCGTTGGATTTATGGGACAGCTGAATTTCCATCCTGCAGCCCAGATCCTGTCAAAACTGTGGTTATTTTTGGAGGCTTCTTGCTGTGATCCCTATGCATAATTTAAATGACAAAGAACACTAGTTCCTGAAGAAGTTCAGCTTTCTCCAATAAACAGAATTATTTATTAGTCCTGTAACACTTGCTTTGGTTCTGTACATTTTTGATTCCTTTCCTCTGCTGCCCTCCAGACTAAAACAGTTACATTATTCCAATGTCAGCACTCATTAAGGTTTTGCTGATATAATTTGACATACAATGATATCATTACTTCATTAGATAACTCTGCCTGGTGCATTTCCTTTCTGTTAAGGTCATTCAGAGAATAATGCAGACCAAGCAGTGCTGGAAAGTGCTCTCCCTGTCACCTCAGCAGTGCTTCGGAAACACCTCCAGAATGGAGTCGTTGCAGAGTCTGCCTGCTCAGCTCTGTGGGCACTGGCACTCCAAGGTGTGTGATCCCAGTCCCCCTGTTGTCCCTTGCCATGGAAAAGGCTGGGATGTGATCCTGCAACCCAGGCTGCTGGGCTGAGGAGGCTCTGCAGATGGCAGCAGAGTTAGGAACTTACATCCTCTCCTGGTCACTCTTCCCTCTGTGGCTCCCCAGTGAAGCCATTTTTGATGAACTGTAGAAATTAAATCACCAGATACTGCTAATGAGGAGTCCACTGGTGGGCAGCTAATTTGCTTGGTTGATTTGGAACAGTATTTAATGTTAAAAAATAAATAATATTTCATTATCATTTGCACTAAGGAACCCATCTTTGCAGTACTATCTGTCTTATTTCTTCCTCATGCAACAATATTGTCACATTTACCTACTACCTGCCCCTGTGCCATTGTTCCACTGGGAGAAGCTGAGCAAAACGCCCACAGCAATCACATTTCTATTCTCCATCAGTAGAATAAATTGAGTATTCATGACTCTATTCTTTTGGCCTTAAGGATACTGAAATTTTGGGCTTGTCTGTGTGTTTTGTTTATTTTCTTTAAAGGTTGCTTAACTGACAGTGACTATGAACCTACAGCAGCACTTTTGCTGGATGCACTCAGGGTGAACCCAGAAAGAGCAGTGCTGGTGAAGAATGGCTGCCTGGCATTAGCCAGCCTTGTGAGGCTCTCAGGTAACATTCAGCAGTTCTGCTTTTATCAATTGCCAATCAGCTCCATCAACATGAAAACAACAATTAAAATAACTTCTGCCTGCATGACAGTGTCAGCTGCATATCTGGTCTCCTATTTGTTCCCAAATATGCTTCAGAATAGTTGTTAGGAAGACTGAAAATAATGGGCACTACTTCCTGAAAACGTGCCTTGAGCCAGCTGGTGAGGGGATGGGAAGCAGATCCTGCAGTCTGCAGCTACAAAGAGCCCAGCAGTGTTTGTGTTCCTTGCAGAAACTGCAGCTTTGGCAATCCTGCTGGACTCAGAGGGCAGTGGAATAGAGCTGATCAAAGATGAGTATCACCTTCATTCCAACGAGCCAGGGGTGGCAGAAGCTCTGTGCCTGCTGATGAACGAGATGGTTCAGTATGGTGAGATGGCTGCTGCTGTCACTTCTTGAGTCTCCTCCTCTCTCCCAGCCCCAAAATCAGTAAAACCACATCAGCAGCTCTCAGAGACATGTTAGCTGCTCTCAGGAAACACTTACTTTGTGTCTGAGAAAGTTCCAATTCATCCTCTAAGAATTCACTCCACTTGTTCCAAACAACTACCACTCTGATGGTAAAACATTTTAACTTCATCTTGCCTCCTCCTTGTGTAGCTCTGTCCTCTCCCCTTTAGCCTGCTCCTTTAGCTCCTGCTCCAGTGGCACTTGTGCTATAACCATACATTTTCTTGTTCATTGGCACTGCAGATGAGGTTATGCTGTATATGAGGTCCCAGAAAATGCAAAAGCTGCTGTCTGAAATAAAACTCCAGTTTCCATTTAGCACGGTATGGAAAAGTCTCTGTGATAATAAAGTATATTAGTATATTATTTCTAGTGAGGGATTTGATCATAGTGCAGAAATTTAGAGAATTAACAGCATGTGGAGTGAAGAGTGAGTTTGTAAGGATAGTTCTAATTATTGAGAACAAGTGGTTAAAAGTTGTTTCTTGTTAATGCTGAAATTTTAAAAAATTATATTCTGGTCTCTTGCAACATTACAATAATTTACTACAGTCTTCATGCTAAGCCAGGATAAAGTTTGTAGGAATAAAGCCATAAGTACATTACACCCAAATTATTTTTGGTTTGGAAGTGGCATTGTTAGCAAATTTTAAAAAACCCTTCAAAATCTTTCTGACAGTTTATGGGAAGATTTAACTTAAATTTCACCAAGTAGTCACACTGAAAAAACTAGCAAAGTTATCAGAGCTATTTAATATGTTACACTAATATTTCTTTTGCAATGGCTTGCTGGCAAGAAACCATTAATTTGGTTTGTTCATCAAGCCAATAAAACTGGTTAGTCTTAATTTTGCTGATTTTAGTTATGTATTTACAGAATTGTTTTCAAAAGTCTCCTCCAGGCATTGCCTGAACCCCTTCAATGAACACTGCAGCCACAAGGTAGCACAGAAAAAAAATAACCACAGAAAGAAAGCTCCCTCTCCTGTTGTAACAACAGCCACTTCAAACACCTATGTTGGACACATTGTTTTTATTAATAAATGAATACAAAAAGAAGTGGAGCAACAAGGTAATCTTTTGTTTGACATTTTTTAACATTTCCCTCCAGAAGATTCAGACCCTGGTGAACGCAACACTTTTGAAACTGAGGAAGGAAAAACGCTTTGTCTGAGAACAAGACTTGGCCACTGCTGGATACAAAAGCCTGGATTCTTCATTAGAGGATTCTTCTCACCAGAAAAAAAAAGAATATTGGGCTAGTAGTAATATGCAAACAGGTATTTATTGATGGTTTGGGTACCACAATGGTGTAACTAACAGCAATATTTAAGAATTCACCTTGTAGTAAGACCTCACTTTGTGGACCTTAACATACTTGAAATAAAAATTTTAATCCTCCAAATTTTGACAAAGCAATGACAGTTTCTTCCTTCATCTATCATAATTTAATTTTTTAACTTATTCAGTGTCTATTTCCATTGAAGAAATTTAACTGATGAAGTTCTTCCCAACTGCAGGCATTTGTTACAAAGGTTGCTTGAACACAGTAGCAGACATCAGGCACAGGGCCCATCCACAGGGATACCAGCGGCACTCCTGAACTTCCAGGTTACTGTACCATTGTCTTTGGATTGATTTTATGAAGCGGCTGCTGTCAATTCTGACTTATCTTTAAATTTGGAATGTGACATCAAACCAGCAAATGCTGCAGAGATGAAAGATTCTACCCTGTGTTTTTAAGTTTTACAATTTTTGTTGTTAGCTTTGTTCTTAACAGCAGCTTCCCATTTCTTTTTCTCCAGGGTGTAAAGTCTCATAGCTGCTTGTGCATCCTGGATCTGAAAGAGAATAGACCAGACAAGGATGTGAGATAATAAGCAGCTAAATCTTCCATCATTTTAATACATCCTTCCAATTAACATTTCATGATCTCTTTTTACATTTAGGTCTGTGCCTACTGAAAGGGACAAATTGTGTATTTAGAGTCCAGGGCTCACCACAAGGCTCTGCATTTCTGATTGTTACTTGGAAAGTAGTAAGAGAATTTTGTCATTGACACAGTATCTATGAGCTCCCCTCCCAATTTTGCTTCCCCAGTTCATTCCTCTTTTCCATCCTCCTGCCCACTGAAATAAAGGATCTGCTGAGATTCAGGTGTAGCCTCTCCCACTGTTTATCCTGCCACAGTGCAGCAGTGCAGAATGCTGCTTTTAGGGTAAACAGATCTTGATCATTACCTTTCCCCCTGGGAATTTTAACAAGAATTCAGAGTTAAGAGTTAACTTGTGCAGAAGTTGTTTACAAAATGAATGAACAGTGAGCGAGCTTAGATGACAACCTCCCTGCTGCTGCTGTCCAAGCAGAGCTTGCTGAGTTTCAGTGGGATGAAGGCACAGCACTGGCCAGAACCCAGAGCTGGATGATCTGAGGAGGCACCTACCGAGCAGTGCTCTGCTGTCTGCACCTGAACATTGAGCAGCTTCTCACACAGCAGCTTCAGGGATGGCCTGGAACTCTAGAGACAGAACACATCACAAACCATGCTGTCTCACAGGACTTGAAATAACACAGATGGGTGTTCTATAAAAATGTTATATTCTTCAAAGAATAGCACATCTTAGCCTCTGCTGGCGAAATACCAGGAATAATTAATGAATTAGGAGATCTGTGTGTGCATAGGTAGGAAAGAAGGAACAGGGTCAGGTAAAAGCAAGCACAGAAGTGAGTCAGCAGCTCTGGAGTCTGTTAATTGAGCACCTTCCCAGCAGTCTCTTACCTTGACTCTCTGTTTGAAAGGTTTGTATCTCTGTGTGTCCCTGATCTTCTTGTGAGGATGATCAAGAAGTAGAACCTAGAAGAAACCACATTTTCAGTTAAATGTGTTATTGCATGAAACCTTACAGAGCTGAATGCTGTTGTTTCCTCCCAACCAGTGTAAGAGATACTTTAAAGCCATGAAAGGACAAGACCCAGCTCATCTAGATGGGGGGAGGTTTCCAGCTCAGGCGTGTTCCCTTGATCCAGAATGATGTATCACAAACCTCATTTTCAATTTACCTTTAGGTCATTCCTTAGGGCATGTCCAACTAAAATCCTTCCTTGCAGGATCTCAGCCACCTCCTTCTGAACAGTTTTAAAGTCTTCACCTAAAAATGCCACACAAGGAAACACTTTCCATGAGCAATCACAGCATCTTTTCTGGGAAGCAACTGTATCCTTGGAACTGTAGTTTTTGTACAGTACACTGAATTTCTGCTTGCTAGAACATAGAGAATTCCATAAAGAGAACAGCATAAAAAGAAAATGAACTTTTATACTATATTCCACCAGTTAATTCCTTCAAGGGTATAGAGAATCCTATAAAGAGCACAGCATGAAAAGGAAGTTATTTTTTTACACCATATTTCACCAGTTAATTTCTTCAAAAATGTTAGTGATCACTGTAGAAAAGCACATCTTCCCACAATTTTTCTTAGCATTAAGTTTAACTCAAATCTCAGCATTTTGTTTTCCCAAATTAGGTCTCAAACTGTGCCAAGCTCAGCCAATGAAGCTTCTGTGAGAACCCAGTGAATTCTCCCTCTCAGGGGAAAGCCCTGGTACCTGTGTTGATATTCTGAGGCCGGATGCCGCTGACAGCTGTCCTGTAGTCTGTCACCTTCTCCGTGGGCTTGACATACTTGTCATAAACACACTTCCCAAACTGGTTAACGATGGACACCCGAGCCAAGATGCTGTCCTCACCCTTGGGGCCCACCCCCACCATCTCACAGTCCATGGCCACGGCCCGGGTCAGCCTGGAAGGCAAAGGGACAGCTTGGGGACACCTCTGCAGGCCCAGCTGCAGCTGACAAGGTTCACATTTGTGTGAGCAGGACAGAGCCTGGCAGCAGAGGCAGGGAGATGGCAGCTCACTGTGCAGATCCCTTATCAGAAGCCAGTCTGCCAGCTGATATCATTATTATTGCTGTTTAATTGAAGGGATGGGACTAGAGACAGGTTAAAAACAATTTATTATTCAGATAAACATTAGTCTCAGAGGCTGTGAGATTTATGAGAGTAAGCAGTTATAGCTCAAGAGTAGTTATAAGTTCTCCATTACAAGACAATATATAACTTTCTAATCTAATGGACAGTTGCTACAAAGTTTATTTTGCTTTTCTATTACTTATTTCTACTGCAATGTGTATACTTTTATCTAATGGGCTGTTATCACGTGCACACACGTTTCTATTATAACCACTAAACTCTTAGCTTACTCTCTACAATTACACTCTTACATGATAAACCCTTCACTATCTTATTAATACAGTTTTTTACTTAAGGTATACTCTTACAACTAGAGAAACATAAGTTTATGAGTTTATAGAAACATAAGTTTTTCTGCTTAATGTCTGCGTACTTTAGTTTTACATCAATCTAAGCTTCTTCTAAGGCTACAGATCAAACTTTTGCCAGTGTCTCTGGCAGTTTCTATCTTTCCATTTCTCACACTCTGCTGCCATCCTTCCCCCTGCAGTGTCACTCACCCTTCAAAAGCCTTTTCCTTAACCAGCACCTGCTCCACAGACTGGGATTGTTCTGCTTCAAGTCCCAGGTTCCTTCTGGCAATTTTTGCTGCTTCAGGTCCTAGTGCTGCTTCAATATCTTTGGGATCAACATCATCAAACCAGATGTCAGCCCTGGGAAGAACAGATTTAATTACATTTAACAGCCTCAAAGCAATCTGGTGTCTGTTGTACAAAAAGTATGTTTACTTTCTAAACCAAGAGTTAAATCCTGTGAAATTTAAGTCCGTGACTGGCACCTCTACAGGTTTCTTGCTGTGTCTGAGGAGCAGGGGCAAAATGTTCCTTATTTCTTTCAGAATTTAGTCTGGAAAAGTGTAGCTGTTTGGAATATACCTCTCTGTGCTCTTCCCAAAATAAATACTCTCATCCAGAGCTGCTGCCTGAAATACTCACTCTTTGGGCTGCTGCTCCACGTGTTCCTCAGCTTTCCTCCTCTTATGTTTCAGCTCATCCTTCTCCTTCACAACAATGCCATTTTTCTTCTTTTCTTTGCAGCCTTTCTCATTGCTTTTAGTGCAATTTAAGTTCTTTTTTGCTGCAACCCCCTTGGATTCTGGCTTGGCCAAAGGAGGACTGGCTTTAGCAGAACCACTGTCCATTTTATTTGTGGATTTGGCCTTTACCACATTCCCATTGACTGCTGGGATTTCTGGGTTTTTGGCTGCTTTGAGTGGCTGCTTCTTTTTGGTGTCTGTTTGACCCGTGGAGATGGGCTTCTTGGAGTTATTTGCCTTTTGTTTCAGCAGCTAAAATGACATTAAAAAAATAAAATAAAAAGATAGATAAAGGAAAAGAGCCTGGAAAAGAGAAGCTTTAGAGTGACTTAATTGTGTCCTTCCAGTGCCTAAATGGAGCCTCCAAGAAAGGGAGAGAGGAACTATTCACAAGAGCCTGGAGTGACAGGACAAAGGGAATAACTTCAAACTGCCAGAGAGCTGCGTTAGGTGGACATTGGGAAGAAATCCTTCTCAGTGAGAGCGGGCAGGCCCTGACACAGGGTGCCCAGAGCAGCTGTGGCTGCCCCTGGGTCCCTGGCAGTGCCCAGGGCCGGGCTGGGACAGTGGAAAGTGTCCCTTCCATGGGGACAGTGTGTCCCATCCATTCAGGCGCTGCTGCCAGCATGGCCCCGCTGCCTCCCTGTCCCAGCTCCCCGGGGCTGTCCCCACCGCATGCCCCGGTCCCCCTCACCTCCTGCAGCGCCTTCCAGTTGGAGGAGAACTCCTGCGGGTTGCGGGGGGGACCCGCGGCCGCCATGCCGGGGCCTTTCGAGGCGCCCGCCGCTTCCCCCAGGGCCTTCCTCTTCTTCCTCCTCCTCTTCTTGCCCTTCCCGCGGGCCGCACCGCTCGGCCCCGCCGCCGGAGGCTCCGCAGGACTTTGCTTGGCCATGCAGGGTCAGCGGAACCGGGATCGGGATCGGGATCGCGGCGCAGCGAGTCCCAACCGGGCCGGCGCTCCCGCAGGGGGACCGGCCCAGCGCCGCACCGCCCCGCCGGGGAACTCCGGCCCGCGCTTGGGTTCCGGGGCGGAGGGGGCGGCGGTTCCAGCGTTCCGGGGCTGGGGGATCGCGGGGTGACCGTCCCCCCTCCATGTAACCACGGGCGTGTCCGCAGGGCCCCTCGGCCCCCGAGCCGCCCCTCGGCCCCCGAGCCGCCCCTCGGCCCGCGGGGCTGGCGCACAAGCTGGAGAAGCCGCGGGCATTGCGCGAGGGCGGCCGCGCCGCAGCTGCCGGCGCGTCCCCCGCGGGCCGGCCCGGGGCGCGTTTGCTCGGGCGCTGTTTGTTTGCCCAGTCGCTGTTTGTTTGCTCAAAGGCTGGTTCTGCTCTTCCCTTCCGCTCCACGTGAGGCC